GCCTGGCTCATTTTTGCATTTTTAGTAGAGACAGGGTTTCACCATGTTGGCCAGGCTGGTCTCGAACTCCTGACTTCATGTGATCCGCCCGCCTTGGTCTCCCAAAGTGCTGGAATTACAGGCGTGAGCCACTGTGACTGGCTTTTGCTTTCACTTCATTTCATTTTCAGATTTTTCATTGCTAGTGTATAGAAACACAACTGATTTTTGTGTGTCGATTTTATTTCTTGCAACTTTGCTGAATTGGGTTATTTGTTCTAACAGTTTTTTGTGTGTGTGGAATTTAAGTCCCTCCTGATGCCTGTCACATCTGGCCAGGAGACTGCTCATCCTGGCTACTTCCTTCCATCACTTTCCCCGTGGCTTCTTATGCTGCAGTCGTCACTAAGAGTATCAGGAGAGAGTTGCTTTGCTATAATACAACTATTGCCACCAGCAAGACTTTCTGGGTTGGCATTTAAACCGAAAAATGGACCAGTATTTTTAGGATGTGTCTGGTAGTTGGTACCCCAAGGCTGGACCTTTCCCTACACTGTCCCTACAATCATTACATTTCACCAACATGGAGGTGATTTGGTGTGAGTGGCCTAGAAACCAGAAACTTGAACACCTCAGGAATTTCTTTGGAGCAACTTGAGGCAGAGGCTCCTTCCTTGAACAGCATCCTGGTGCCCTTTCTGAAGAAGCAGTCTGGACTGATTCTGCTATGATTACTGGGATGTCAACCCCATCATTTGCCGCATTCGAATCCCTGACCTATATGACCAGCTGCACAAGGCAGCTTCATGGAGATGGGCCTCTGGGAGCCTAAGCCACTTGTTTTGGATTCAAAAAGCTTTTGAGGCCGGGCGTGGTGGCTCATGCATGTAATCCCAGCACTTTGGGAGGCCTAGGCGGGTGGATCACCTGAGGTCAGGAGATTGAGACCAGCATGGCCAACATGGTGAAACCCTGTTTCTACTAAAAATACAAAAATTAGCCGGGCATGGTGGCGTGTGACTATAATCCAGCTACTCAGGAGGCTGAGGCGGAAGAATCACTTGAACCCGGGAGGAGGAGGTTGCAGTGAGCTGAGATTGCGCCATTGTTCTCCAGCCTGGGTGACAGAGCAAGACTCAGTCTCAAAAAAAGAAAAACAAAAAGCATTTGATAGAAGATCAAGCAGTATACATCAGTTGCCAACGGGAAAATGCAGTTATACCATTCAACCATATGGCTTTCCAACTATGTCTCAACTCTACACTGATGCTGCTTTCTAATTCCTTCCAATCCAGGACGATTGAGCCTCCATGTTTGATATTCCCATCTTTCTAGGATCCTACCCACCACTAATGGGATACTTTTATTCAGACATTTCTGATTTGCCTCTTGTAGCATCCACTTTTTACCAAAATGATAGAATTTGACCTAGAGGAAATTGAATTATTTGGGCTATATCCCATCATCATCTCTCTCTGGAGGCAATGATCAGCCATCAGAACCTTTAGATCTGTGGGTTTGGGGGGCTACTCTTAGGGGTCCAGCATGTACTTCTCTTTGACTGGGTCTCTTAAGAAACTTATCCCACCATTTCTGGGTCACCTGAGGCTCATGACCACTGTGACCCAGCTTATCCTCCTGTCAAACACAATCAAGGTCCCTGTAAAGTGGCAAAGACGATACCAGGATTTAAGGTGATACCTGGGAAACAGGAGCCTAGAGCCCACCCCATGGTAGGTACTCATTTCCATTCCAAACTCTGTACATCCCAGTAGTCCAGAACCATAGGGTCAGTACCCTGAAAGAGAAAAGGAAAAAAAAATTCTTTTAGATGGAGTCTTACTCTGTCACTCAGGCTGGAGTGCAGTGGTATAATCTCGGCTCACTGCAACCTCTGCCTCCCGGGTTCAAGCCATTTTCCCACCTCAGTCTCCTGAATAACTGGGATTACAGGCATGTGCCACCATGACTGGCTATTTTTATATTTTTAGTAGAGATGGTGTTTTACCATGTTGGCCAGGCTGGTCTCAAACCCCTGACCTCAAGTGATCAGCCCACCTTGGCCTCACAAAGCGCTGGGATTATGGGCGTGAGCCACTGTGCCCTGTTGAAAATTCTTAACTTGTGAGATTCTCACTGGAAAAGACGATCAGAAAATTTCATGGGTCATGACATGAGTTTGAACTGACCACCATCAGCAGAAAAAGCAACAAGAGGCAGAGCAGATGAAGGATCAAATCACCACTGTCAGTACAAACCTCTTTTCTGTCTTATGGGCTCTATCTCAGCCTGTGATGTCTCTCTTCCTACACAGGGCTACCTGGATTCTGGTGCATGTGGTATGACATCTTATCTGGGTGCCATCACCGTTTTTCAGACCCTACCCAATGACACAGCTCCACTACAAATTAGGGCATTGTGAAGCCCCCCTTGGAACTATGAAGGCCCTAGACTCTTCTCCAGCCTCTCCCAGGCCTTCTGCAACCCAAAATAACTTAGAACAATGGCATGATCTTTTGGGGTTTCATTCTCTGGCCAAATGAGCCCATTTTCCAATGTCAAGGCAAAGCCATCAGGTTGGTCAAGAGACTCATGAAAGACCTTTCCTGTCTTCTCAGGCTCCTGAACAGGATGATCTCAGATCCCCCCTCATACACCAGCTGGAACTCTGTACTCTATCTTCTAGGTCAGTAATTTCAAAGGGCTTTCCTTGGAGCCCCTCTAGGGTGTATTAGGGGAGGATCAAGCAACACGAACTCCACCCCTCCTTTTCTGGCTTCAGTCACAGCCGTTTCTACTTTTCTCTTACATTTTGAGCTTCATCCTAATATTTATGTTAGAACAATGTATTCCACTGATTTTTCAAAAGGTTGGGAAACCAGTGGTCTGTTCCAAGGGCACTATTCTATGGTTGACACCCGCAGAAGCAAAGCACACCCACTGGGTTGTACTCTCACCACAGAAAGTCAGTGCTGAGACCTTCTTTCCTCCATCAGAATTCCAGCCACAAGTCCATTATCCATCCCCTCCCCAAGGATCATCAGGTAGTACCTCTCTGGACAGAGGGCAGAATTTTGCTAAAACACATTCTGCCTGCCTCTTATGAACTGCAGCCCCTGCCCTCCACACAGACATAGCATCGTCAGACAGACAGACACCTCAGGATCCCCAGGGCAGCCTAGGCCAAACCCACCCACCTAGGCCACCCACACCACCTGGGTGACATATGGACACACACATAGTCTTGTTGGAGATTTCTCCCCTGCTAACTTCAGTCAGTTCTGAACAGTCTGTTCTTCCTTTGCTGTCACCCCGGCTTCAGTCTATGACCCCCCCACTTGCCTTGTTTCCCCTGCACTCAGAATCCAAGGACCCCCATCTGCCTAGTCAAGCTGGTCAAGGAGTAGAACCATTTAGGATGGGTTTTCCTGCACTCCAAGCTCTTGAAGATAAAGCCTGAAGCCAGTTTCCTATCCACTCCTTCTCTCCCAACTTGTATTGTCCCCTACATGATCAAGCCCCATCCCAAATTCAGAGATTTACCTTGGTGCAGAGAAAAAAGCCAGACTTTAACAGCAGGCTGAACCCCTCTACCCCAGGCTCCCAGAGAGTGTTCCTGAGGCCTAACTTGCTGGATGTGCAACAAAACCCTAGTTTCCAGCCCCAGCTCTCCAGTTTTCTTCGAGGTACACAGGCCCAGCATGCCTTTCCTGCATTTCTGCCACTCCCATAAAAAGGGTGGACACAGGGAGGAATCAGACTGGTTCTCTGATGGCAATCCAGGTCTACAGGCAGAACTTTTTCTCTAATAGCATGAACATTTTGGAAGGCATTAAGGGCAAGAGGACAGGGGAATCAGAGGGAAGGATACAGAGACGGCACTAGAACCTTGCTGAAGGGACAGGGTGGTGGAGATGGGAGTTAAGGAAAGGGGTCAGAGGTTCAGCAACTGTAGTAGGGAAAATGCTAATGTTGGAGGCTCAGGAAACCAAGGTCCTGCTCTCTGTAGGCCTTTGGGAGGGGCATCCAGGTTGGATGTGGTGCAGAGGTTAAGGATTCATCATGCCAGTGCTCAGTGCCTAAAGATGAGGCAGTAGGATGAGAGGACTGTTTTGTGTGCTATTTCTAAATCCAGAACCCTCCTTGATATGAGCAGGAAGGGGCATTGATTCTAGCCAGCACTATCAGGCTGACCAGCAAGGATGTACTTCTCTTCTCTGGACCCAGTCTGAATAGAAAGGCTTTCTCTGAGCACCCTCTTACTTAATACTACAGAAATAGTCCGAAACAGCATTTCCCAAACTCTAAGAACAGAAAGGTCAAACATGTAAAACCATGCATATAGGGCTCTACCCAGTCAACAATATCAAGACTGCATCACTCCCCACAAGAGCAGCCCTGAGACTCTCTGGGTTTCCCCAGGACCCAGGTTTTCCTGAGGGAAAGCTGAGCTGAGCTCCCTTCTCCAGATCCTTTCCCCAGATCCTGCCCCTTAATGAAAACCAACCCTGGAAGCCCAGGGCCTTCTCACTCTCTCTGCTTCCCAGAGTGAGACCGGTGAGCTACCTTCCTAAGTTCCTCGGGCTACTCTTGGGGGATCTAGGAAGACTTGGGGTCCCCAGGTCATTCCTGGCTTTGTCCCCAGAGGACCGAAAGCTGTTTGTGGGGATGCTGGGCAAGCAGCAGGGTGAGGAGGACGTCAGACGCCTGTTCCAGCCCTTTGGCCACATCGAGGAGTGCACGGTCCTGCGGAGTCCTGACGGCACCAGTAAAGGTGACCTGAGCTGACCCCGGGATTTCCTGGTGACCCTTCCTCACTCTGGGCCACATGACTCTTTGACCTCTGTGGCCTGAGCCACCCGCTCCCTCTGTCCTGTCCCAGGCTGTGCCTTTGTGAAGTTCGGGAGTCAAGGGGAAGCTCAGGCGGCCATCCAGGGTCTGCACGGCAGCCGGACCATGGCGGTGAGGGCGGATTCCCCGGGCTGAGGGTGAGACCAGTGGGATGGGGACGGGCTTCTCCTTCCCGAGTGTGCTCGGTGCCCCGCGAAAGGACCTGATGGGGAAGGCGCTCGGCCCCGGGCCGGGGCCAGGGTCAGAACCGGTCACCACGGTCTCCCCTGCCCTGCCCAGGGCGCCTCGTCCAGCCTCGTGGTCAAGCTGGCGGACACTGACCGGGAGCGCGCGCTGCGGCGGATGCAGCAGATGGCCGGCCAGCTGGGCACCTTCCACCCCGCGCCACTGCCGCTAGGGGCCTGCGGCGCCTACACCACGGCGGTAGGTACCGGGCACCTGCGTGCAAGGGCGCGCAGGTGGGTGGGCCAGGCCTGGGGCTGGGAGCACGGGCAGCTGACTGGCCCTTGGCCCTACACTCTCGCCCATCTTTCCTCCCAAAGATCCTGCAGCACCAGGCGGCCCTGCTGGCCGCGGCACAGGGCCCAGGCCTAGGCCCGGTGGCGGCAGTGGCGGCCCAGATGCAGCACGTGGCGGCCTTTAGCCTGGTGGCTGCTCCTCTGTTGCCCGCGGCAGGTAGGGTGCCCAAGGACTGGGGCGTGCCTGGGAGGGGCCGGGCGGGGCCGGGCGGCGTCCTGACTCTCCGACCTCTTCCGCCATCAGCAGCCAACTCCCCGCCCGGCAGCGGCCCTGGCACTCTCCCAGGTCTTCCGGCGCCCATCGGGGTCAATGGATTCGGCCCTCTGACCCCCCAGACCAACGGCCAGCCGGGCTCCGATACGCTCTACAATAACGGGCTCTCCCCTTACCCAGGTGGGCCCCCCGCTCCGCCCAAATCCCCCCGAAATGGAGTGGGGAGCGGGGGGGTGGGGGGTAGGGCCTGGCTTCCCTGGGAAGAGATCTCCCTCCTTCCCTGCTGCCTCTCACAGCCGTCGTCCACCTCCCACACTCCCTGAGCTTCTCACCCACTCCGCTCGCCCGCTTGCCTTCACCGTGGGCCTTGCGCCCCTCTCTCCCCAGCCCAGAGCCCCGGCGTGGCTGACCCCCTGCAGCAGGCCTACGCTGGGATGCACCACTACGCAGGTTTCACTTGGCGCTACGCGGCCTGGGGGAGGTTGAAGGGCCCCAGAAAGAAATAGGGAGAGTTGTGGGGGATTTAGGCTCTGTTCCGAGGAGTTGATCCTCCCATCCCCTCCTACCCCCAGAACGACCTCTCTTGGGGTGAGGGTTATGGTGGACTGGGCTGAATTGGTCAAAAGCGGCCAGGCACTTGGGGCCCTGCTTGGGGAAGGGCTCCTGGGGATCACTGCCCACTCCCACCTCTGTCTCCAGCAGCCTATCCGTCGGCCTATGCCCCAGTGAGCACAGCTTTTCCCCAGCAGCCTTCAGCCCTGCCCCAGCAGCAGAGAGAAGGTGAGGGACTGGGGGCTGGAGAGCAGAGCCTGGTGGGGCTGGACTCAGGGTCCCTCCCCTGAACCAGCCTGCTACTGTTCCTGCAGGCCCCGAAGGCTGTAACCTCTTCATCTATCACCTGCCTCAGGAGTTTGGTGATGCGGAACTCATACAGACATTCCTGCCCTTTGGAGCCGTTGTCTCTGCTAAAGTCTTTGTGGATCGAGCCACCAACCAGAGCAAGTGTTTTGGTGAGCTGAGAACCTACCCCTATGCCTCTCCCACCTCTGACTATAAAGGATTCCCTACAGACCCTACGATTGTCCTTCCATAATGCAGTGATTTCCTGAGATTGAATGTATGGCACAAAATGGGGTCACAAACCAGTGATGGGGCTAAGCTTAGGCTAAGAACAAGCCTTGGTCAGGCAGGGTGGCTCATGCCTGTAATCCCAGCACTTTGGGAGGCCAAGGCAGGTGAATCACTTGAGGTCAGGAGTTTGAAACTAGCCTGGCCAATATGGCAAAACCCCATCTCTACTAAAAATACAAAAATTAGCTGGGCGTGGTGATGGGTGTCTGTAATCCCAGCTACTCAGGAGGCTGAGGCAGGAGAATCCCTTGAATCTGGGAGGCGGAGTGAGCTGTGATGGCACCACTGCACTACAGCCTGGGTGCCAGAGCAAGACTCCATCTCAAAAAAAAAAAAAAAAAGGCCGGGCGCGGTGGCTCAAGCCTGTAATCCCAGCACTTTGGGAGGCCGAGACGGGCGGATCACGAGGTCAGGAGATCGAGACCATCCTGGCTAACACGGTGAAACCCCGTCTCTACTAAAAAATACAAAAAACTAACCGGGCGAGGTCGCGGGCGCCTGTAGTCCCAGCTACTCGGGAGGCTGAGACAGGAGAATGGCGTGAACCCGGGAGGCAGAGCTTGCAGTGAGCTGAGATCCGGCCACTGCACTCCAGCCTGGGTGACAGCGAGACTCCGTCTCAAAAAAAAAAAAAAAAAGAACAAGCTTTATTTCAGGTTTACCTGGGACCACGATCAGGTGTCCACCGGGAATGTGGCCAGCTAGGTCAGAGCTTTGGAGTCTGGCCAGGGCAGGAGGAGTTTGGTTCTGAGACCAAAGATCCCCTCCGACTCCAACTATGTTCTGAGGACCAGAATGGGAGCTGTGGAGGGAGACAGCCAACCCATGCCAGGAAAAACACGGAAAACATCCCGATCAACACACTGACCCTGCACACACACTCAGAGTTGCCTCCTATCCTTCCAAGAATCACACCTGTAGGAATCTCAGGCCGTCTGCCTGTGACTCTATATCCACGTGTGTACGCAAATAGTGGAGGGGTATGTGTTTGATGGAACTGGCCGGAGGGGGCTGGGTCAGAGGCCCTGCCAGGCAGAGTTCCCAGCTAATCTCTTTGCCCACACCCTCCAGGGTTTGTTAGTTTTGACAATCCAACTAGTGCCCAGACTGCTATTCAGGCAATGAATGGCTTTCAAATTGGCATGAAGAGGCTCAAGGTCCAGCTAAAGCGGCCCAAGGATGCCAACCGGCCTTACTGATCTGCTCTCACCGACCAGCCACAGAAAGGTAAGTCCCTGATGGACCCCAGGTAGATGAGGCCTGAGTGATGAGGCCCTCCCAGCTTTGATGGTCCTCCTTTTGGGACCTTGGAGGCACCCACCTCTGAGAAAGTCTGGGATAGAGAAAAGAGCTGGGAGCTAGGAGGAATCCTCAGATGGTGACTTTGCTTTTCCTTCAATCCAAGGAGATCAATTAGACAACATTCCTGCCCCGTAGTCTAGGAGACATAATCAGAGTCTTTTCTGCCTGGGGAAGCAGTTCTACTCCAGAGATAGCCAATGAGAGTATGTAGGGAGGGTCCGGGAGTCTGGAAAATGAGACTAGAAAAGTCGCTCTGGGCCAGTTTTCAAGAGTCTTCAGGCCATGAGTTTCGACTTTATCCTGAAGATGAGAAAGAACTGTTGAGGAGCTTAAGCAGAGAAAGGACTAGAAGTAAGGGCTGAGATAATGGCAGTGAACATGGAGATGGAGGAAGAGAAGCAAACATGCTTCAGAGGTTGGAATCTGCAGGGCCTGGTGGGTGATGGAGAGAGAGATGGGCCAAGTTCTTCTACATTTTTGGCAAGGTCATGGGTCCATAGGATGCTGCCTGCAACTTTTAGAGATTTTCTGTCTCAGAAGGCCCACATGGCCCTGCCTCACTTTGAGCTACCCCAGGAGCCTTCTGGAGGGGATGTGGGGTTGGGGTCTTTTGCTCAGGACTCAAGTCTGGCTTCAGTGGACTGGGCTGCTGCCTGGGTCCTGCTGCAGCCCTGCTCCTCAGGAAGAGAGGTCCAGCCACTCACCCGAGATGTCACTGATGGGGGCAAGCTGCTCTTCTGGTCTTGCCCTCCAAGGTGATTTTTGCCTTTTTTCTTCTCTCTCTCTTTATCAATTAATACACAACAGAAACGGAAGAGTGAGAAGAAAGGAGAGGAAAAGCACAGAAACGCTTGAGCAGCCCTTCCCAAAGGAGCAGCTGCGGACAGACGGAGGTGGATCGGACCCAAGGCTGGTGCCTGGGGCTAAGGCCACTCTAAGGATTGTTTTTATCAAGTGGGTTGTTCTGTGCCTGCAGTATAGCGCGCAGGCTGGCAGAGCAACTAGGGCTGGTGAAGAGTGACTGTCCAGGGGAACCAGCAGAGGGCGTTGGGGGTGCCAAGGGCTTCTCCACAAGGGAAGCCCAGATTCACTTCTTACAAAATCATATCATTCCTTAGAGTTTAGGGACCAAAGGACTACTGCTTTTTTAAAGAATATATATATCTATATAAATTAAAACAAAGAAACAAACAAACAAAAAGACAAACAACAACAACAAAAGACAGTATAGAGTCTCATAAAAGCTGCCTTTAAATATCCCTAGGAGACAGGGTGAAGGAGACCCTTGACAGCCCCAGCCTAGGCAGAGGGAGGCTGTGGAAATATTGTTCTGTGTCTCATTCCCTCTGAAGCCACTCCCCGACCCTTCCCTTTTAAAAATAATTAAGGATTTGAGGTCTAGGCTCATATGCAGGTAATGAGAAAGTTATAGAAGCAGTGAACCCACAATCCACAATCCTCAAACTCAGAGTGCATCCCGGAAGAGGCCCCAGGCGGAGCTCAGGTCCGCCCTGGCCTTTGCCATCCCAGGAGGCCCCCTAGCCAGCAAGAGTGGGACTGCCTTTCCTGTGGAACCACTGCTTCCCCAGGCAGGAAGAAAGAGGGAGTTCTGGCCACCTGAGCCTTTCCCTTGCCAATCCAGGTAGACAGAGGCCCTGCCTTTGGCTGAGCTGAGACACCTCTTGTTTCCCTTCCCCTTGAACCAGTCCCAATGTCCCCTTACTCCAGGCTACCTTCTGTCTCTTAGTCTAAGTTTGCCCACCTGTAAAGTAGATTCAGGGTATCTGTAGAGGGCTGTGACAACAGACTTGGAAGGTTTGCTACTGTATATACTGCCATTGAGAAGGGGAAATTTTTCAACATGTAGAAGCTTCAGAATTAGAGGTCCCTCTTTACCCCAGACCTGAGAGGGAAGTAGATGTTTTGCCAAAATACTTCTTCATTCCTTTAAAAAGTACATCTTTCCTATGCAAGAGTGTCTCACATGTGCTTAACCGAGGTGCTTCTAGTTGGTGAGCAGTGTTGAGCTTAGAAGTGGTGTGTGCTCTGTCTGTCTGTCTTTGTCTGTCTGTTGTATACAGTGGGTGCCATATAAAGCTGATCAATGGTGGTGCTTCCTGCCTGCTTCTGTGAGATGGGCAAAAGATTCAGCTTAGAACACCATGACTCACCTTGCCTTGGTCAGCCTTTCCTGGGCCTGTAGGGCCTTGCACATATTTTTCCCAGGAGGATTTCCCCTCCACCCCACAGACATGGATCAGCTTAGTCTGAGGCCCCAGCTGTGTGGGGTCACTCTAATCCCCAGATGTTGCTGAGGCTGAAGGCCTCTGATCTGATAACATGTCAGATAGTAAAAGATGTGGGGGTGGGGTTGGAGGACTCCTCCTTCATAACAGTTTCTAAGAAAACTTGTTCCCACCTGTTCTTCTGTCTTCGACTCATTTTTGGAGGGAATGGGAATGAAACATAGATCTGGCAGTAATATTACCAGGTAAGGTGCGACGGACATCCACAAATATTTTCCAACTGAGAGAAGAACCAGAGGGTATATGTACACCAGCACAATGCTGACACCTAGAGTGACCATCCTGGACACAAACAGAGACACACAGTACCTGCACCCTCAAACTGATATTCACATGGAGGCACAGAGTCCTCTCAGGCTAGGTGCTAAGCACTATGCTACATGTTGGGGCTCAGGCATGTTCCAAGTACTCAGAGTTAAGGGGAAAGAGAGACAAATAATCCAGTTACAATGGAGGGCCATAGAAGGTCTGTGCTAACAAGAAGGAGAGTACCTAATTCAGACTTTATTGGTAGGGGAGGTCTGTGAAATACTTTCTGAAGGAGATTAAGAAGGGGAAAAGTCTTCAAGGATGAACTGAGACATTTGGACAAAGCCATTTAGACAGCTCCATCATTTTGAAAAATTATCTTTATTACCAAGAAATAATAGTAATTACCATTTATTCAGTACCTGTTGCGTGGCAGATAATGGGCACAAGATAAGACCCTTTTCCCATTCCTAACGCTACCCTGAACCTTACCATTACTGAGTCATGTCAAGACGCTTGAACCAAAATGATATTTAAAATATCTTGCTTCATACTCTACAGTATGGGCTAGGGACTGGCAGACTGTGTGGTTCCAAAGCTTCAGGGTTGACATGGTCTAGATTAGGGGTTGGCAAACGATGGCTTGTGGGCCAAATCTGGTCTGTGGCCTATTTTTATATGAACTACCAAACTAAGAAATTTCTTTTACATTTTTGAAAGGTCGTCAAAACGAAACAAGAAAGCGAAACAGAGACCATATATGGCCCACACAGCCTAAAATATCTATCTTGTTCTTTAGACAGAAAGTTTGCTGACCCCAGTAAGATCCTGGAAGACTTATATAATGTCTGATGAGTTTGAACAATATGGTGTTTGTGTCTCTCTGTGTGCATGTATTAGTCTGGACCTTTTCAGTTGCAAGTGTCAAAAACCCAATTCAAACATGTTTAGGCCAATTGGAATTAATTGGTTTACGTAACTGATAAATCAAAGGATGTATCTGCCTTGAATCATGGCTGGATCTAGGGGTTCAAAAGATGATGCCTCCATCTCTTGGCTCCGCTTCCTTCCATATGTTGGCCTCATTAGCTCTAGTTCTAAAATCCCAGGGAGGACTTTGACCAGCTTTGGACACATGCCCACCACTAGGATGGAAGAGTAGGCCACCATAATTGACAACTTCATCAGGACTGTGTGGAAGGGGAGAAATGGGTCCTGAAGGAAGAGATGATGAGCAGATAAATAATATGCATCCACTATATCCCACCCTTTATTGCATCCACCTATACTTTTCTTGACAGACATACAATTTCAAAAAAGTGCCTGCCTGACAATGCAATAATCATAGACCCAACAAAAACCACATTCACCTATTTCCCAATGGGAGATAAAACAGAATCACATCCAATTGCTTTATTGAGTCCTCAGTCCAGGGTCCCTTGGTGATGGGCAATTCTTGCTCAGGTCTGGATATGACTTCTTAAGATTTTGCCATCTATGGGTAAAAGATAAACTTAGCTACCCCATACTTGTCCTATAACCAAGGTAAAATAATGGAGAGAAAGAGGATAACAATTTGTTTTAAAGAGATGGGGTCTTGCTAATGTTGTCCAGGCTGGACCTGAACTGCTGGGCTCAAGCAATTCTCCTGCTTCAGCCTCCTGAGAAGCTGGGACTACAGATACACATGACTGAATAATTTTTAATTCTTTTTTTATTTTTATTTTTATTTTTATTTTTTATTTTTATTTTTTTTTTTTGAGACGGAGTCTTGCTCTGTGCCCCAGGCTGGAGTGCAGTGGCGCGATCTCGGCTCACTGCAAGCTCCGCCCCCCGGGTTCACGCCATTCTCCTGCCTCAGCCTCCCGAGTAGCTGGGACTACAGGCGCCCACCACCTCGCCCGGCTAATTTTCTTGTATTTTTAGTAGAGACGGGGTTTCACCGTGTTAGCCAGGATGGTCTCGATCTCCTGACCTCGTGATCCGCCCGTCTTGGCCTCCCAAAGTGCTGGGATTACAGGCTTGAGCCACCGCGCCCGGCCTTTAATTCTTTTTTTAAATTAAGATGGGGACTTGCTATGTTGCCCAGGCTAGATTTGAACTCCTAGGCTCAAGTGATCCTCTCACCTTGGCCTTCTGACTAGCTGGGACTATAGGTGCATGTCACTGCACCTCGTTATAATAGTTATTTTAAAACCTTCCATTTGGAATAGGGGAGAGGAGAATACAATGGTCGCTAATCTATAGCATATAACACATCCTTCTGGACAGTGGAGTGAATTTCTTGGTCAACAAAACCTATTGTTTTTGGTCCTTTCCACTGGGAAATGTCTCCTTTGTCCATTGTTCTTTATGCACGTCCCTGAGAGGATGGACCTTTGGAACTGAAGCATCCCACTTCCCTTTTGACATGGTTTTGAGTTATTTATTGAGACAGTCTTCCTCTGTCGCCCAGGCTGGAGTGCAGTGGCGCGATCTCAGCTCACTACAACCTCTACTTCCTGGGTTCAAGTGATTCTCATGCCTCAGCCTCCTGAGTAGCTGGGATTACAGGTGCCCACCACCACACCTGGCTAATTTTTATATTTTTAGTAGAGATGGGGTTTCGCCATGTTGTTCAGGCTGGTCTTGAACTCCTGGCCTCAAGTGATAACACCTCCCTTGACCTCTCAAAGTGCTGGGATTACAGATGTGAGCCACTATGCCTAGCCAGTTTTGGGTTTAAAGGTTGCCGTAGAGATTAAGCATTCCCAGATCCTTGTTTGTCAGTTGTGAGGATTCTGTGATTCGTGGGTTTTTTTTTTTGAGCTGGTAACCATCATGAGGGATCCTTGATAATGTCCTGCTCCGTGAGTCTCAATCTAGCTCATGTGGTTTCTGCGTCTTAGCACCAGGTCACACTTTGGCCATTCCCCTATCCCTCAGCTTCATGGTTTCCATAATGGCCTGTCCAAGGTGGTAAGTCAACCTTAATCTGCTTACTACCCCCAAAGAGAGATTACCCATTCAACACTTGGCCAACTCACGCTCCAGTGAGCTTGTTCTTGGCCAGATAGTCAAAATCCCTGAGCAGTACCGGCTTCTAGGCCTCAAGCCCCAAGGAGATGCATAGGACAGGATGGAAGCAACCAGTCAAGTACTCTTGGGCCAGCAACCTGCAGCTTGCTCTACTCCTCCAACTCTGGCCGTGGCCCATTATTACCCTGAGGCCACATTGTTGAAAGACTGCTCAGGGGAGTCTATCAGTTGACACTGAATTTTGGGGGCCCTCTGAGAACCTCTAGAACTTGGGGGCTCTGGGCAGTGTCTTCAGCCTCCAGCAGAGCCCCTATAATGAATTTCTTTTGCTGGATGCAACCTGGGTGTCTTGGATGTAGGGAGAAAAGTCCTCTGGTCTGAGATAGGACTGGTGACCTCTGACCTTGAAGCAGCTCTGGTTCTGCTATGTCCCCTGACCAGACCTGGGGGCTCACCCTGGCCTCAGTGGAGCAGAACATGCATATAATACCTTCCAAAGGAGGGTGCTGTGATGTGGAGATCACAGAATCTCACTTGATCCTTTCCAGCTTGGGCTGTAATCTTTGAGCAACCACTGTCCTGATTGCACTTGCCTCCATCATGACATAGCCAAACCCAGCAGGGACTCACAGGCTGTTTCTGGCCTCTGGGCCTCATTCATGGCTAGTATATTTGCACAATTATGTTACACAGCCCTGTATTATTTGGAAGAAACCGCATGAGTTCAGGGAGCTAAGAACCAATGTGGGCCATTCTGCTGCCCTTCCAGCCTGCAGCCTGAGCCAGCTGGGATCTGCAAAGAGGTGGCCAAGTCTGTGCCAAGTGCAAACTAAGAAGGGGCAGAGGGCCACACTTTTTCTCCCTAGCCCTAACTCCAGACACAGCTATTATGGCAACCTCTGCCCTCTAGAAGCCTGGGCTGACCAAAGCCTTTAGCTGACCATCTGTAGAGGGGACTTTGAACTTCCAGACTCTGGCCTCCTGCCCTCTAGTTGCCTACAAGAATAGAAACTCAGAAGACAGAACAGGCCACAAGCTTTTGGCCTGGCTTTTCCCAAGGGATATCTTAGGTGCTCAGCAGAAAATGCAAGAGAATAAAAAGAAAGCCTGTGGAATGAGCCTCAGCCTCCTGGGGAGTAGTCCCAAGATGGCCTGACCCAGTGACCTGACACTGGATTCCCGAGAGGAAGCCAGCAGTCTGGGCTGGATTCCCTGCATTTGAGTAGGAAAACTCAGCTGCGTCCTCAGGTCCTTTATGTTACCCCACTGTTGGGACTTCGTGTAGCGATGGGGGCTTTGATTTTGTCTCCGTATCTTAACCCAAGTACTCTAGAAAGCAGACTCTGAGGCAAGTGCTGACATTTTGCAGGGAGGTGGAAGTCCAGGATGGTGAAAGGGAGAAGAGACGAAGTCAATGCAAGATGATGCAGTACTGTGCTGGCCGCCACTTCATATGAGCCATTAGGAGAGAGCAGGTCCCTTGTCGGGCTTGTTTGCCAAGCACATGGTGTTTGCAAGGAGAAATGGCACCTTGGGGCAGTTCACCAAGGGGAGATTTGAGAAGGAATTAATGCTTCTGTTCCCCTCTTTTCTCCTGTTTTCTGTTGGCCAAGATTGTACCCCACAAGGAGCTAACTCCCCTGCACTTCTCAGCTGCATCATTTGCTCCCTGGGTGGCTGTTGGGAAGTCAGCTCCCATGGTCTGCTGTGTGGCATTTCTACTATAGACGTGGAAGTAGAAGGGCTACTTAGCATAGGCAGGGTGCCAACCAAGAGAGAGAAAGAAGGAGGTGGCTTAGGGAATCCAAGAAGGTGCATGAAGTGCGTGCCCAATACATCCCATTCTCTCCC